TCAACTTTGTCTGCATTGGCATTTTGAGCTTGGTAATTCTTTGTGAGGGGGGCAGGCTGCCCTGTGCATTCTGGAATATTTAGCAGCATTCCTGGTCTCTAACTCCTAGACGCCAGGAGCACTTCTCCCCAAGCATGATAACCAAAAATGTCTCCAGATGCCACCAAATGTCCTCTGGGGATCAAAATCACATTTGGATGAGAACCACTGGAGAGAAGTAGGCAGAGGCTAGACTCTGTAGGCCTTGTTCAGGTGGTTTGCTTTATTCTGTGAGCAACAAGGTACCTTTTAGAGAAATTAAAGGGGAGGAGGAAGGACCATCAGAAATGCATTTCTCAAAGTTTGTCTGCCAGCAGTGAGTAAAAGGAAGAGGCAGAAAAGCCAGAGGGAATGTGGATAGAACAATTAGAGGTTAAACCAGTTTAGAAGCTCCTAGATTAATCCTGGTGAAAGATAATAACAGCTTGAACCATGGTGGTGGGTGGTGGGACTGAGAGAAGTAGACGGATTTGAGAGATAGGAAGTGAAATCAACAGAACTTGGCGCAAAACTGGACATGTAGGGTGAGGTGGAATGAGACTCGGGAATGATTCATGGTAGAGGGAGTGGATGGCTGATGGTGCTACTACAAAAATGGGGCAGCTGGGGATGGCCTAGGTTTGTGGGGGAAGATCACACAATTCAGTCGTGTTAAGTTTGAGGGGCCTTTGAGATGCCCAGAACAGCTGCTGAATAGGGAACTGGATATATGGGTCTGGAGCTCTAAGAGTCTGGATTGGAGACATAAATTGGGGAGCACATGGTCTAAGGAAGGTACTCTCAGCCATGACTGTGGACTATCTCCCAAAGAAGGAATATAGGAAGAAAAAATGAGGTCCTAGGACAAGGGCTTGAGTGTGGCCACCATTTAATGAGCTTATAGAGAAAAATATACCTCAAGCATCAGAGAAGAAATGGCTGGGAAGTAGGCAAGATCAAGGATAGTGTGGAGTCCTGGGAGGCCAGGGAAGAAGGTGGGTCAAGAAGCAGGGAGTGCTAAATTGTGTGAGATGCTCCTGAGAGATTACATAAATTAAGGAGAAAGCCTGAAGGGTATGGAGGAGAGACCATTGTCAGTCATAGCGAAAGTGGCTTGATGGAGATGGCAGCAGATGGCAGTGGGTGAAGATAGGAGGGGAGCAAACAGAGACACTGGGTGCAGATGACATCTTAGGAGGTTGGACCTTGAGGAGCAAGAGAGACATGAGGTGGAACCTGGGGAAGGGTGTGAGGTTATAAGATGAGAGGAATGTGAGCATGATTCAGTGTCACTTGGGAAATATCTGGTCGAGAGGAGTTGGATACCCAAGGAGAAGGGCTGCATCAGAGGTGGAAGGGGTAGGGACCCAAAGCACGGGGAGGGAATGGCCTGGGAGAATGGGAGAGGAATCGCCCACCACAGTGCAGCAGGGAGCGGGAGAGGAGGCCTGTGAGTGCGCTGGGTGTGTGAGCGGAGAGGTGGGGCGGGGACTGGCTTCTGCTGAGACTGAGGGAGGCTGGGTGTAGGGGAGGGGTGGGGAGTGAACTCAGAGGCTTAGGAAGAATGGAGAGGTTTGAAGTTATGAGAATTATTATTAGAATGATTCTCAGAAGACAACAGATCCTCAGTCATCTAAGAAAAGTAAAGTTATGATTCGAATACTCACATTACTTACAAGTATTAGTTTCCTAGGGCCACCATAACAATGCACTATGAAATGGGTGGCTCACAACAACTGGGAGAGAAATTTATTCTCTTACCATCCTAGAGGCTACAAGTCCAAAATCAGGGTGTCACCAGGATCGTGCTCTCTGTGAGGGCTTCTTGAGAGGATTCCTCTTTGCCTCTTGTAGCTTCTGGTAGTTGCCAGCCACCCTGGATGTCCCTTGGCCTTCCATGGCTTGTAGATGCATCACTACAACCTCTCTGCCTCTCTCTCTCTTCATGTGGGCTCCCCCGCTATGTATCTGTCTCCAAATTTTCATCCTTTTATAAGGGCCCCAGTCATTGGATTAGGGCACAGCTAATCCAGTGTGGCCTCATCCTAACGTGTACATCTGCAAAGACTTTATTTCCAAATAAAGTGGCATTCACAGGTTTCAGGTAGATGTGCATTTTCAGGGGACACTATTCAACCCAGTGTATTACAAAGGCATGTGGCTATATTAGTGCACTTAGAAGTGTTTAAAAGATTAAAACAAAATATCTTTAGCAGCTAACATTTGTAGGTCCCAAGTGCCTCCTGTGCACAGTGTCACGTACTCCCTACGACTGTTGTGTCTCTACCATCAAACAGTGGCTAAGGGCAGCAGAGTCACTTGTCCCAGGTGAGATCCTGGCAGAGCTAGGACCTGAACTTGGGCATCGTGACTTCAGAGACCACCTGCCCCCCTCTGTTGGCTGTATTCCCTTTTTCCGGGTCATCCTGAGTTAGTCAGGAAAACTTCATCAGCTAGTTACCTAGCTCAGAAACTACCCTTTCCCGCCAACATTCTTTGCTCACATCTTTTTCTCTACATACAGCTCTTCATACATTTAGCATGTCTACAGTTCTGTGCATGGGAGAATAAGCCTACTGCTTGCCATTTCGGCTGGTGACATACAGCCCTCTCCTCTCTGGTAACTTCCAGGCGTGGCTTTGTTTCCCTGGGTCCCCAGCGCCCAGTTCGTGGAGCTCTCAGAAGTGGAGAACCAGCATGACTGTTATAGCACAGAAGCTGGGTACGCCCACCCCCGGGGCCGGTAAGGGGCGCATGTCCTGTACGATGAAGCCTTGAGTAATTGGAAGGAACTGGGGACGGAACTGCTGTTTGGGGCCAGTCGTTACATCGAGAAAGAAAAAGGTCAGAAGTCAAATTGTTAAAAGTCAACCAACTGAAACAAAAACACCAAGGGCTTGGTTTAACACCTCCCATCTCGAAATATAAATGCGTATCCAGTAGTTCCTGAAAATTCAATAGATACATACAGCCCACACACCGCACACCGCATTGGAAATGATGCAGCTCTGTTTCCAGCCTAAGCCCCCCGTTTGTTGGAGACTGACTACGCTCTGGGGGCTTGGCTCTAATTTTGACTGTGGTTTAGATTCGACTTGCTCCCCAGTGGCAGTTCTGCATCACCCACTGGATGCAGAGAGTGTCACACAGGGCCCAGCAGGAAGCAAAGGAAGCAAGCGAAATCAATGGCTTTTTAAAAAAAATTATTATCACTTTATTGTTCATAGTTTTGATCTTTTTAATTTTTTAAATTTATTTTTTATTCTATTCCCCCCCTTCATTCCCCTCCACCCTACCCCCCGTCCCCACCATTACCCCCCCTTTAGTTTATGACCATGTGTCTCAAGTTCTTTAGAGTCTACACTTCCCCTACTATTCTTGCCCTCCCCCCATCTATTTTCTACCTACCGTCTATGCTACTTATTTTCTGTACCTTCTCTCCCCTTCCCCTCTTCCCACTTCCCTGTTGCTAACCCTCCCTGTGATCTTCATTTCTGTGGTTCTGCTCCTGATCTAGCTGTCCTCTTAGTTTGCTTTTGTTTTAGGTGTGGTTCTTAATAACTGTGAGTTTGTTGTCCTTTCACTGTTCATGTTTTTTTTAACTTCTTTTTCTTAGATACTTTTTTCTAAGTGACAGAAAAGTGATCAACCTTGGGAAAGGGCAGTTAGAAGCAGAGACATCCCTGGGTTCCTAACAGAAAACCACCAGGTGCAAGAAGATCTGACTAGCAAAATGCCAGACAGGCCCCAGAGGGAGAAATCGTTACTCTGGGTAACCAAATAACCCACAATCTCTCTTCGTTCTTCCCTCTGGCACTACTCAAATTTATCCAATTTTAGAAATAGGTGAGGTAAGAATATTTATTTTGAAATTATATGACAGTATTAGCATTACATTAGGAAAGAACTTGAGGTTTCTAAGTATCTTGTAACACCTGAAGGGAAACATAGCAAGGATTTATGCTGTTTTGTAATGTATCAGACTACAATAAAGAACAATTCATAGTCATATTGTTATAAAATTCTGCTTGAAGAATGTTTGGCAATTACCCTCTCAGATCCTGGACAGAGTTAAGTTGATATTGGGTGGAACTCTTTGTCCTGCCTCCACAGCAGGCCATCTGGGACCCGACTCATGGGAGACGGCAAGGGCATCCAGCATACCGGGCACTGAACTTCCGCTCTTAGCTTTTACCTTTAGTGGTTCTCCTTACACTAATGCAGCATTTTTGCTGATGGAGAATAATTTATAATACAATGCAAATATTTCCAGCTGCTAAGAATTTAATTAGCTTGAAACACATAGCAGTCATTTACCCACATGAGCACCTGTCAGCGGAGCTGGTGGGGGTTTAGCCATTCAGTGCAGAAGGAATCCCAGCGGCTGCCAGGGGAAGGCCGGGTCGAAGCCTTTCTCTTGTGCTCAGCAGCCATCACGTACTCGGTAACCACTGACCTCCGCCTTCGGCCCCTGGAAAGTTCTTACTTGTTAGTGTTTCATTCTGAAATAGAGTGCTTAAACATTTAAAGCAATAATAATGCTGATGGTGAGAACTAACATTAATAAAGTGGGAAAATATTTGAGCCGAATAATGACAATGCTTACGTTTATTTACTTAGATTAGTGATTAACATGATTAAAGACTATCTTAGAAAGGCCTCTGAAAGTGTTTGTCTAGCATCAACTGAAATAGCAGGTTAAACTGGGTTTGTTTTTAAACTGCCAGGTTTTAGAGAAGAAAAAAATGTATGTTTTGCCTTTAAATTATAGGTTTTTAAAGGATATTTCAGTAAAGATTTTATGTTGAGTGAACTTGGTTATATTTCTGAAGTTGGTTTTTAAAACTAAAATTATAAAGTAAACACAAAAACCCCTGTTGACTTAATAGTTAACAAGTACGAACTTAGGGCTTTGTCTTTGCTGATGGCTGTGTAACTGATTTATGATTCTCATTTCGGATTCAGTGTTTTCATTCCTGAGAAGGAGCAGCCAAGGGTGCATTTCTAACAAGAATAGCTTCGTGGAGAGAGGCCTGGCTCTGGTCATTGCCATCACTTCTCTTCCAGGTTGCAGAGAGAGCGGCAAGTCAAGTACTGGCCAGGACTGGAGTTGGGCCCATGTGGGAGTAGGTGAGTTGCTGTGCTGAATGACCTGTAGACTTGGGAAGCAGCTCTTCTAGAAAACAAGTACCAGGTATTCTTGCCTAGAAAACAAAATTCAGCTAAACATTCCTGTAAAAGTCAGTATTTAAAAAAAATTCAGTGGGTCATTTACAGCAGCTCCCATTTAGTGAGACTGAAAGATGACTCCATCCACATTCCTTGTCCTGTCAGGACGACCCTCAGCCTACTAAACAGACAAACTGATTGACCTCACTGTGGCCTTCTGGAGCACATGCCACGTGTTGGTGGGGGAGAGCAGCTGGGTGAGGACTGCTTGGTGCAACAAGTTACCAAGGATTTAAAGCAATAAAACAGTGAGTTACTAAATCATCATCCTGCTGTTAATGGTTCATATCCCAGTGATAAATGAGAAACTACTCTTCATTTGTGTCCTTGGTGTCGATTATGGCCCTTCTGATAATCACTGACTGTTGGGGAGTTTATTCATCAAACATTAAGTGTTCACTCTGTACCAGGTACTATTCCAGGCATTGGGAACACGTAGATATATAAGAGAATATCTTCAAGAAATTTCTAGCCTATAAACATTAATCCTATATCTCAGCAAAAATTATAACCCAGCAGCACATGCAAGAGCCATAGGGACCCCAGTGGAGGGAGGGATTTGTCCCATGAAGGGCTGTCAGAGTAAAGGAAATGTTCGCTGGTCTTCCCAGAGAACTAGGTATTTATTCTTGTTACTAAAAGGTGAGTAAGACATTGTCTGTCAGAGGAGGAAAGATTCATAAGCAAAGGAAACAGCATTAGCAATGTCAGAAGGTATATAATGGAGATGGTGAGTTTGGAGAATGTCAAGAAGACTGCTCTGGCTCAAATGTGAAGGCATGCCAGGAAACAAGGTGGACGGATGGTTTGTGCGCAGCCCGTGAAAGGCCTACTAGCCCATGCTCCATTTAGAAGGTATCTTATAAGCGAAAGGCAGCCGTTGGTGATTTTCAGTAGGGGAGAGACACTGTTTTCATATCCTATCTGCTTTGTTTTCATATCATAGCTGGGTGGGTGTCAGTGTGGAGAATGGATTAGAATAGAAAGCTCCTGGAGAAAGTGCAGTTATTATTACAGCAGGTACCCAGCGAGTTAGGAGGGACCCACACCAAAGATGTTATAGTGGGAATGGGAAGGAACAGCAGGCTTGGGAGCACTTTACAGAGGCGGAAATGGCAGGCTTTGAAGACTGGAGTGTGCGAGTAAGAGTGAAATGAAAATGACTTCCTCAGGGTCAGGAGGAGGCTCTGAAGTGAAACAGAAAGCAGGAGGAGGGGCACTTGAGAGGGAATGTAACACTGAGTCTAGGAGACAGGCAAGTGAGGAGTTTTCTAAAAACCCAGGCGTGAATGTTTTGAGAGCGCTACAGTTTTGAAACTCAGGAGCAGGTATGAGCTGAGGCATGAATGTGAAAGTTGAACCACAGTAATGAGTCAAAATGACTAGGAAAAGCCGGAGATGTCTGAAATGGGTCCCTGGGTAATGCTTACTTTTAAGGATAAGGTCATGGGACAAGAATCTGTGAGAGGAAGAAGGAGTAGCCAAAGAGACAGGAGAAAAAAGGAAGGAACGGTGTTCTGAAAGCCAGTGGAAAAGAGTACGTTTTACCTAGAAGAGGATGGGTGCTAGGGTAGGATGCAGCGAACATCCAGAAGGACGACCCCTAAAAGTGGTTTCAGCCATCAGGCGGTCATGGCCAGCGTTGTAGGGCTCTTCCAAGGTCCCAGGGGTGGAATCCAGGTGACGGTGCGCTGTGATGTGGTCAGAAGATGGAGAAGTGGCTGTGTTTTCTTCACATTGTTTTTCTCGTAGAATAGATGGTTTACTACTTCATCTACTCTCTGGCCCATTACTCATGGAGATGTAGGTGACCCAGTTTTTAAAAGCAACTGGCTGGGATTAAAGGGTGCATGACCCAGGCTTGGAAAGCTGGTCCTCTTTTCAAAAATAAATGGCCTCTGTGGAGTTTGCATGTATCTGCCAGTTAGAACTGTAAGGTCAGCTGAGTAAATGAGACAGTTGGACTCGTAGTGTAGTAAGTAGAAAGGCTGCACTAATTGTAAGACAGAGTCCTCAAACTTGACAAGTTTATTGGTCCAGACACGAGTTCTGAAAAGGCCCCCTCCTCCGTACTCTCTCCCCCCACTTCGCTTCTCAGTGCTGCTAGGCCTCCTGTGGCAGAGAAGGACAGAAGGGCAGAGTGGACTGAACAACAAACCACTGTCCTCACACTCCATCTTCAAGTTCATTCTGTGCTAAGCTACTAGTCACTAGTTTCTCCTGTGGGACATGAAATTATTTTCACATAAAACAATCATTGCAAATATCTCCTTCCTTTCTACTCTGAGAACAAGTTCCCCACAGAAACGTAGATGTGCCAAACTATCAAATGTGAACTTCTGAATCAGAAATGCTGTCGAAAGAGCCTATTTTTAATGGATAAACCAGATTTTTATCTGGAGCAGAATTGAGTTCCCCCAGCTCTGGTTCTGCTGCCAAGTCTCCTCAGCTGTGTTTGATTGTTGAATGTATTGGAATCACTAGTGTATTAAGAATTGCTCAAACACATTGGATTGTCTTAAATCCTTAAAGTAACTATTTATGTATAAACACTCGTAAAATTAGAGCTGGCACGAATTTAGGTGGAGTAAGGGACTCTGAGAGAAGCCAGTCACCAGCTGTACCCGCTCCTGAGTGACACTTGCACCACTGGATAATTCTCCCTGCAGCCACCAGAGGACACATTTTCAGCTGAATTAATATTTGAAGCACTTAAAAAAATTGTGTTGACAGGTTGTATCTAGCATTGATTTTCTGTTTTGCATTTTCATTTGACCTGAAATACTATCTTTAAAAGTTTCTTGAATCCTAGAAATAAAAACCAAGTTTAAGCTAAGAATAATGTAAACAAAGTAAGTTTGGAGAGCATTCTGTCCACTTTCCCATTTTCTCCAGTGCTCTAGGCCTGCCGTCAGTGTGCACCACGTACTGTTTTGCCTGGGAGTTGGCCCTTGACACAGACACACGTGACATTTGACAAGCTAGGAAGACTTCTTAGACAAATGCCAGCCCAGAGTTCGAATGGAAATGGGCCATTTAGCAAACAGATACTAAATAGAACCTGTGAGGTGCAAAGATCATGGTCCTACCCCTGTGGGGAAAGGATTTGTAATAAAATCATGCAAGGCTCCATCTGAGAGCTTCTCAAGAGTGAGGCCAAAGCTTGACAAGGCCTTATCAATTTAAAGAGAGAGCAGAATTTTCCTTTTCAACAACTAGGGTTGTCAGGTAAAATATGACAATATTTGGGACATACTTAGACCAAAAAAAATATTTGTTGTTTATCAGAAATTAAAATTTAACTCGATGACCTGTGTTTTTATTCACTAAATCTGTCAGTCCTATCAACAACAAAAGTGAGCATGGCAGTTCAGCACTAGCCCCTGCAACCTGCTATCACCAGATCTGAATCACTAGCAAGAGCCCTCCCAAACTTCTCTGGCCAAATAACCAAACAATAGGGCTCTTTGTACAAAAACAGGTCAAGGCAATACAAATGCAACAAACTAGCTCCTGGGATTGCCCCAGCCCAGCAAAATGATTCAGGTTAGTCCAGGATGATTAGGGGCATAATTGTTTCTTTCCTAATTCCCCCTAGGCTATACTGAGTGACCCCCTACTAGACACTCCTTTGTTCCTGCTTTATCTTCTGCTGTTTAATAATTGAATGTTATTATAGAGTAGAACTCTGTGGACAGAACAAGCTAATTTAGGTCACCCTGCAAGGCAAGGGGATCTCCACCTTCCTTCATTTCAAATCTCAAGATGTGGAGCGTCTAACCTGGGGAGTGCATTCTGTGTCCTGAACTTTTAGCCTCCTTTGGTTGACCTAAAGTCCCTTAGGCCATTTCCCAAAGGAGATCCTGAAATACCCAGAAGCTAAATACAGTGAGTGCCCCAGGCTCTCCCTCCTTGAGCTTTTAGCATTGAAACCCTCAGTTATGGATGGTCTTTAATAAGGCATGGATTCCTACTCTGCTATTAATTCCCAAGTGTTCACCTCCCCTGGGAGCCTCAGAAGCCACGATTGGCAAAAAGGAGACAGTCCTGATTTTCCTGCCCAGGGTGCCTTTATCCCCTTGCCCTCTATGCAGTTGCTTCCTGCGTATTCAAGAAGTGCTTACACTTTCCCTGTTCTTTGTGTTTTGCATTCTTAGCTATTGCACACAATGAGAGGGGCTTATCCCCTTTTAGGAAATTTTTTAGTTTTTTTTAAGAACAGGGCTGACTTTCTGACCTCAAACAACCAGGTAGACCAACACCCAAGAAAGCAAAACACCCTTTCTCTAATGCATCTCAAGGTCTGCTAGGCTGTTGGCTTAGTAGAAATCGCAACCTCGACAACTCACCCCTTGCATCAAGTGCACACACCGGACAAGCCTAGGTGACTGGCTGTCACAGGAGCCCAGGCCTCTCCGAAACCTCCGTGAGAAGAGCTGCTCAGGGAAGACTGGTGTGGAAGGGACAACTTGAGCCAAAACCCTGAGGAAGGAAGTGTTGGATTAGCTTAGCAGAGGGAAGGAATGTGCTCCATTGTAAGACCAGTAGGAATGAAAGTCCAGAAGCTTCTAGTCAGAGCCAGTTTATCCATTAGGCAATATAGACGGAGTGTCTAGGATCTAATTGCTTTCAGGGACCATTGAAAATGTTTGAGATCTGATAAAAAACAACAACAACAATGTGCATTACTCCAAAGAAAAGAAAATACAAAATAGATGTCAATAAATTTTTAACTATGTGCCTGTAAAATGTAAAAACTTTATTAACTGAGCACTTATAAACTTCTTATTACATTTGAAAACAACTTATAGATTAGATTTCCTCACTTCATAGGAATCCCCAAGTATACACTGCCCAGAAATCATAGGCAGTCATTAATGAAATATTTTACCCATAGCCAA